AAAAAAATATCCAATTATATATCAAAGCTAATTTGTTATGCTGCAGCTGATAGCCGGTCCCAAGTGCAAAAAGCGCGTTATGAAGCGGCCAACTTTCGCTACAAATTCGGCTATGATATTCCAGTAGATGTCTTATGTCGCCGCATAGCAGATGTTAATCAAGTCTATACTCAGAACGCTGAAATGCGCCCTTTAGCATGCAGTAAGTAACCACTGACCAAATTGTGTACATACCTTTTACGAAATGTATTATGCGTTTTAGGTATGGTGCTTATTGCCTATGATGACGAATTGGGGCCTGCTGTGTATAAGACTGATCCTGCCGGTTATTACTGCGGTGTAAAAGCTGTCGCAGTCGGTGTTAAGCAACAAGATGCCAGGAGTTATTTGGAAAAGAAATTTAAGAGTGATTTATCTACAGAAAAAGTAATACAATTAGCCATTACATGTCTGTCCCAAGTTCTTCAAGTTGATTTCAAGCCAAATGGTATCGAAATCGGTATTGTCACCAAGGATTCCCCACAATTTACAGTGCTAGATGAAAAGGAAATTGAGGACCACTTGACAAAAATTGCAGAGAAGGATTAGTTCGGGGAAATTAATTTTTACATTTCATAAGTTAAGATTTTGGTTAATTGGAGATGTCATCTTTTTAAATATGACCAAAATAAAAATGGCGTTATAATCTGAAAAGCTATGAAAGATATATCTACCGCAACAGAAGCTGGAAAACTGGCAGGTTAAATGTAAAGATCAGGAAATTCTCGCACAAACGGTTGGGCTTATAATTTAATTTTGCAAAATACTTTTTCTTAAAATTCGTTCGTTTTTATTGTACTTTAAATTTAAATCAGCGAGACATTTTGTGTGCTGCATAATATTTTGATTAGTTTTAAAAACTTAACAGCCAATCAAAGCCATTTCCTTACCACTTATTCATGTACTTCAGCGTCATAGCGCGCCACAAAGGCAGCCACATCGAATTTTCGTTGACAACCTTTGTAATTCATATAACGTACTTTACCAAAGATTGGCCTCGGACGATAGCCTCCATCATGTAAGCCACCAATCGCCCACATGCAACCTGGAACGATAATTTCTAATTAAATAATTTCCGCCGGCCAGTACCTCATTCCATACTAATTGAGTATAAGCTTACCTACATAGCCGTTTGGATCCCGTCCATCTAAACTGTATTTGTCATTCAAGTAGATAGCAATTTCTAAGGCTTGTTCCGGCGTAGCGGCCCATTCAAGTATCTTTTTTGCCCAGTACATGCGTAGAAAACCATGCATTTTACCTTCATTTGCCAATTGAATCTGTGCCGCATTCCAAAGATCATCGTGTGTGTGGGCCTGCTCGAATTGGGAAAGAGTGTAAGAAGGATTGCGCTCATCTGTGCGATGCTCATCGAGTGTTTTAATCGCCCAGCCGTATAGGCCCTTTAGATTGTCATAATTTTCATTATAATAACAGAAATTGTCTGCCAACTCTCTATAAATGATAGCTGCATCGCAAAACGTCTCTACAGATGCTTTGAATTTTGAGGTGTAGCGCATCACTTCAAGAATACAACGCTGTACAGAAATTTGACCTGAAACCCAATTTATAACTATTAAGTAAAAGCCATTTTATGAAACTACATCCTAATTCCGATACCAAAATGAAACCATGGCGACAGTCCAGACTGCGCATCTATGGTAGGATCGTTGCGTTTTTCGTTATAAAAACGTAAACGTTTCGTACAAAAGCTTTGTAGCTGCAAGCATGCCGCACGATAACCTGGTTTTGCCCACTCTACTGCTTTCACAGAGCGATCGCACTGAATCGTAGATAGAATCGCCTTCCAATCCACAGATATGCAGCTATTCATTACACATTTATTGTGAGGATGCTTTGTTACTGGTGGAAATTCAGTAAGGAATGCCTCCAGTCTCGAGTTAATTCTTCGGCGCATAAAGAAAGGTACAAATTCCTGTTTATCTGATGTTACCCACAGCGGCACCACATTGTGCGCATCGACTTGGGTAAATGGAACATCTACGGGCAGCGCTTTTTTTACATTTTCCACATGAAGCTGTGCTTCACGCAATGGGTTGAAATCACATACGACTGCACTAATGTTGTGCAAACGCACCATTTCTGACAAGTGCTCATCGACTTGGCCGATTAATAAGTGAAACGGAATGCTAAGTTTTCGACATTCGCATTCTACTTCTTCCAAACCGCCCATTAGGAATTCATACTGTCGCAGTGTAGTGTTCAGATGCCCAGGATTGAGACAAAACGCAATTAGAAATGGTAGTTCGAATTTGAGTGCCAAACGTTGAGCAAATAGTAATGCCCAATTATCTTGAACGCGTGCGTCCCGTGACATCCAATAGAGAACACCTCCACAACGAGATTCACTTACTTTATTTTCGGAACTTAATACACGAACGCGCTTTTTGATGAAATGAAATTCGGAAATGCTCCTTGCGGTGTCCAAACGGCGTTGTTGGAGAGACCTTGGTGATATGATGTGTGACGTTCTTTTATCGGTTTCGCTGCTTGGAGTATGATCGAATGCCTCTACGTCACTCGTCTCATCATCATCACTTTCGTTGGAAGATGGATTTGAGTTTATGCCATGAATCTCATTGGAAGTTTTACTCATTGTACGCTTCATTTTATCGTTGGTAAAAACTAGCGTAGACACTTCCTAAGAAAATGAGCTTATTCCTGTTAATGGATATGTATTATTTAACATTGTTTGGCTGGTAGAAATTTATTACCTTCGCAAAATTCATATATTTACCAAATTGTATTTGAATGCGCGCTCATCTATTTCACAATTGTTTATTTTATAGAGATGAAAGCTTTATTTGGTTGCACTAACGGCATTCTTAATTATATTAGTTACTTTATTATCGATAACTGATATATCTACTATAGAAAATTCTTTACTAATTGCACTTCCAATTTTATTTTTTGCCTTAACTTATATAGTACTTACATACATATATGTGTGTATTGCCTATGCAGCTAAACATTTAAAATTAACACTTTTTATACCATATATATCTGTTTAGAATGAATCCATTCTTGAAAAGCCCACTTTATCGATTAAAATAATCGACACTTTGCACCATATCTACTCGCATTGCACTTTACAAATTCTTGGCAAAAAAAAAAATTGGGCGTGAAACGGATTTCCGCTATTTTATATACAAAATACTTTGTGATAAAAACATAGGCAAAGTGTTTAATGCTGATAATTCCTGAATGCATAGGAATCGCATAAAGCTTTGCCATTCAAACATACTCGCAAAGTAAAAATGTTATAGATTTTCTATTATTCTTTATTAAGTTTCTGATAGCAACAGACAAAAATTTATAAAAATAGTATACAATATTTTTAGATTGAAAGGTTCAAATTTTTGTAGGTACGTATGTAGATGTTTCTTCGAAATTCGACGTGCATATTAGTAAATGGGATTTAATAACAAAAACAATTCAAGCAACAGCTTAGAGGACTAGCTAGGTACTACTAGTTGTTTTTAAAACAATAAATACTTTTATTTTGATTTATATACTTTGCCACCATAACGCGCTACAAAGGCAGCAACATCGAATTTTCGTTGACAGCCTTTATAATTCATGTAACGCACTTTTCCGAAAATTGGTCGTTCGGCCCAACCTTGGTCGTGCACACCGCCAATTGACCACATGCAACCTGAAAAATTTGTATTTGTTTGCATGTATTTTTATTTATTACATACATACACTATTTCTAGTAATTTCATCTTTACACTCACCTACGTAGCCGTTCGGATCTCGTCCATCTAAACTATATTTATCATTAAAAAGAATGGCGGTTTCTAGAGCCATTTCGGGTGTAGCGGACCATTCCAATATCTTTTTCGCCCAATACATGCGCAGAAATCCGTGCATTTTGCCTTCGCGAACCAACTGAATCTGTGCAGCATTCCAAAGATCATCGTGCGTACGCGCCTGCTCGAATTCGGCTAGTGTATAAGAAGGACTGCGCTTGTCCTTGCGATGGTCATCAAGTGTTTTAGCCGCCCAGGCGTGCAGGCCTTTCAGGCTATCATAATGTTCATTGTAGTAACAGAAATTATCTGCCAATTCACGACGAATGATTGCCTCCTCGCAAAAGGCTTCAACAGATGCTTTGTATTTTGATTTGTGACGCAATACCTCTAGAACACAACGTTGAACGGAAATTTGACCTAACAAATATACATAAATTTAGTATAGGTACATACATATTTGAAATAATTTGAAGCAGAGCTGTTTCATATCGATTGGGATTAAAAATCATTATGATTAGTTGTCATTGGTAATTTTAATTTCCCTTTGTAATCGGGTATTTAATTATTAATTATAATTAGAAAGAATAAAAAAATGATTTTTGCCACTAAAAAAATAGTTGGAAATGGTCAAAAATAATTAAAAAAACTAATGCCATTATTATTCTGATTATTTTTGATTAAATTTGATTTTTTTTTTATTATTTCCAATTATTTTTTATTTGCTTTTTAAATTTAATTATGAATTGATAATTAATCACATGCATTATTTAACAGGTCGGTTTTGAAGAGGATAAAGTAAAGAACTACATAAATCATCTTATGTGACTTTTTCAGTTAGCATATTTACCAAAGTGAAACCATGGTGAGAGTCCAGATAAGGCGTTTATGGTTGGATCATTGCGCTTTTCGCTAAATATGCGCAAACGCTTTGTACAAAAGCTTTTTAATTGGTCACATGCCGCTGAGTAGCCCGGTTTTGCCCATTCTACAGCATCTACTGAACGTTCACACCGCAAGAATGCTTCAGCCGCTTTCCAATCTACTTGCTTGCTCCTTGCCATTATGGTCTTATTGTAAGGATGCTTAATTACTGGTGGAAATTCGGTGAGAAATTCCGATAGTTTTGAATTAATTTTTCCACGTATAGTACGAGCTCCATATTCTTGCTTGTCAGAGGCCACCCATAGCGGTACGACGTTGTGTGCATCTACTTGTGTGAAAGGTACATCTGCAGGTAGCGCCGCTTTCACCTGTTCCACCCACTGTGTTTGGACGCGCAACGGCGTAAAATCACACACAACGGCACTGATGTTTTGCGATTGCACCACTTTTGGCAAGCATTCTACGGCCGATCCTAAGCATAATTGGAAAGGTATTTGCAGTTTGCGACATTCGAGCTCTACTTCTTCCAAACCGCCCAATAAGAACTTAT